ATATATATATAAAACATTTAAATATTATAGACAATTTTTAAAAAATTTTTAAAAATAATAATATTTAATTTATTAAATTCTCCTTGGAATCATATTAATATATAGAGTTTATTAAATTCATTTAATTTTCGAGTTTCTTAAACAAATATTTATATAACAATAATAAGAAAATTAAAAATTAACCTAATCTATGTTGCACTTTGAAGAAAGATTTAAAAATCTATTTTCTTTCTCTCTTCGTCACGTTATCCTTGGTGAGTCTCGAGCGCGAAAGGAACAAGACAAATTGTCGGCGCGCGATCCCATCGGCCAGTAGATCGAGATCACGATCGTGACCGCAGACCCAAGACGACTACGTTTGCAAATCAATTAAGCGATGCAAAACAGAGGCGACTGGCTCGGCGTTAATTAAGCCGGCCACCGGCGGCTAGCCTGTCGAACTGTCTTCTAATTTCGTGCCTGCCTCTCCCGCAGGCGATAATGAACATGGTAAAGTGCCGGCTGTTGTTACCAGTCGCCATACAATTGATCGCGTAGATTGTAACGTGACAAAACCGATCGCCAATTATTGAAACTTAATGATCCCGACGCGACAATATGACAAGCTAATTAGCCTAAGCGGCAAGCGCTTAAGATGAGCCTTATTAGCGACGTGAATCTCAATTTTGTAGGTAAATACATAAAACCGAACAAAGATTAAAACGTAGGTTATTAGCTAAATAAAATAAAACAATCGTTTAATAATTATTGTTAAGTTAATAATTATTAAGAAATAATTAAGAAATAATTATTAAGAAATAAATTAAGAAAGAAAGGTAACGTAAATGTATATTCTTCAATAGAATTAAAAAGGTATTTCGTATCAATGGCAAAAGTGAAATAAAAATTTATATTACTTGTAATGCCACCATCGCCGAGCACATATATGATAAGCACACGGAGTAGAACGACGGCATGTCCCATCGGCGCGTTTCATCTTTCCGAAGGAGTATCAGATATCGACGAGACTATGACGCTCGATAAGCGAGCGATGCGTGGTGCCTCGGTCCCTCAGTTTTCTTACGAGATCGATATCTCGTTGTAGTGTGCTCGCGTCAATAAACGCACGACGCCGACCGATATCCTGTTTTATTATATCTCCACAAGATTCCTAAGGCCTTTTCTCCTCGCCTAAATGAGCGATCCTATCGGCAATAATAATTATTTCACGCAGATATCTCTAAAGTAAATTTTACTATTCATTATTAATAGCACGGCAACTATATAGCAAGCATACTTGTCGCGAGGACTCGCCTAGGAAGTCGCAGTGACTTATAAGTGAAATAGAACCGTGCGACATGCTGATAGCGCACGCAGAGAGAGAGAAACCCGGAAAGAGAACGAGGGTAGTTAAGAGGGGAGGAGGAGAGCCTCGGGTATATCGACGACACGTGGTGGGCGTCGGGAAGATTCAGTACCCGACGAACGCCAAGCCCAAACAGCATTACATTCGATCCCTGCCGCCGGCGGCAGACATTAAACTCAACCTGTTCCAGTTCGCGTTTAAGCATGTTATAAAGCAAGACTTCCTCCCTCCGGTGCGTAAAGAGGATTGTACCGAGCGAAGGAGGATAATAAACACGCGACGAACACGCTCTATTAACTTCAACTCCTCAAGTACCGAGCCTTTCTCTGTTAAGTTCAAGAGTTCATTTGTAATCCACAAAACTTTCTAAGACCTTGATAAAATTAATTTAAATTTAATTTTTAATTTTTCAATCGTATTCTCTCTCTTATATACTTCATTATTCGTATGACGAAAGAATACGATTAAAATTTAGAAAATTAAACTTAAATTAATTCTACTGAGATCTTGATAAAGTTAATTCAAATTTAAATGTTTAAATATAGATAAGATATTGAGTCACAAAAATTTTTGTCGATAAAGTAAGGAAACAACAAATTGCATAGAAATTATATTGAAAACGAGTAAAAGCAATTCTTATTACGGCACGTTACACATATTGTAATTTCTATTAAAAATCAAATAAATCATATTAAAATATTCTCGCTGTGAATTGACGTGACCGCCCACGATTCGCAGATTCTGATCGCCATTCGGTCGGATGTATTGATCTTGACAGCATTCTCGAATTTCAGGAGGTATATAGTGCTGTCAGAAGTGACCAGTATCTCTATACGTAGCGTAACAATAGGGGAAAGGATTTCTTCATAACGCTGGATATCCGTACGCGGCAATGTTTTCCGATCGATTTTTCAGATAACCGATATACTGCCACATAGAATACAGTTTACACGTGATATCGAACAAGAGTATTGTGCACGCGAGTTCAATTTGACACAATCTGTTAAGCGCTGCATTGTGATTTGCTGCTCGCCGGGTGGTTATCTGGCCTTGTCGAATGTACAAGCAGAAAGAAGAAAAATTCTGATTAAATAAGTTAAATAACTAAAAGAAAATACTGACAAAAGTGATTGTATATTGCAAGATAAGTTATATCCTTGAAAATTAAATATGAAGATAGAGGTTCTAATGACACAAATAATTGAATGTATAATAGAAAGACAATCTTTTATGATAAAGACCGCTGTAAAAACAATAAAAGTCGGGGTATCGATCATTCGTCGACAGACCGTCTATTTATCGTTTCAGCGAACTCTTCTCCGGAAGCTGCATCAAATCTCCGCGCGCTCAGGAATTGATGGATCCAGCGCGTTAGATATGCTACGGAGAAAATCAATCGATTGATCGATCGAACTTCCAGAAGGCCGGTATTATATTTGCTAAGACACGATAAGCCGCGCATAAATCGCGCAAAAGTGCGACGATGAGGCGTGCATGAAAAAAGTTTCATCTACGAGACGGTTAACATGTTTGCAACGATCGTACGCGGAACGATCCATGGATCCGGCGGACGAGATCACATTGCGAGCTCGTCGATTTTCAAGGAGCATCGATCGATCGGTCGATGATCCGAAAGTGTCGCAAGTCGCGCCTCCCTCGAGAATGTCAGTCACCCATCATGCCGTACGTGTCTCTTTCTCACGTGCTGAATCACACACAGGCCCAGCCTCCGGTGAAGATCGTGACTCGTCGCAAGAATTATTTACAGTCGATAAGCAACGGAATAGGATCAACTTACTTTAATGTTCCACATGATTCCCAATTTTAGATATTACTTTTTATTAATTACTAATTGATATATATTTACATATTTATTTCCGCATATCGAAATATTAATCCACTCAAAAGGATAGATTATTAAAAAAAATTTACAAAATACTAATGTCAAAAGATCTGGTGATTTTAGATTAAAAATTAAGACGTCTAAAAATTAGGGTAACTAGTTTAGAAGAACTAATTAAATAATCTGAAAATAATTCAAGTTAAGTAAATGTTGTTTGCGCAAGAAATAAGGTTGAATTTAGACGAGTTTGGTGTGGGTAAATCAGATTTAGATTAAACATGAATCATGACAAGTCGATTGTACGTTCGTCGGTCGGTGATCCTGCTTCGAAGAATATCAGATGTACGACGTCATGTCACTCGCGTGTCTCCTCGGAGCATCTCTAACATATGCCGAGTCACACACGCCCAGCTTCACGCAGGCAGTACGTTACAACATGAAAATTATAAGAAGCATATCATGAGATAAAATGAGGATCTTATGCATCCACGATGTGTTGTACGTGACGCTAATTTAAATAGAATCACAGGTAATAACTTTCATAAACGATTGTCATTATACTAATTTTGTCATGAGTAACACGGATCGTTTGACTGAATTTTGAAAACCAATAGCTTTTTTTTAATTAATAAATAATATTTTAAATTACTCGTAACCAACTCACGTCTACGTAAAGAATATTCGTTTAATTAACTCGCGCAAGTTTGTTTCTGAAAAGTTATCGGCGCTAAACAGCCAGAAAGGTACATGCTG